GCAGCCGCCGCCGCCGCCGGCCCAGCAGCTGGGCTCGGCTGCCTCGGCCCCCAGGACTTCCACCTCTTCTTTTTTAATTAAGGACATCCTGGGCGACAGCAAGCCTCTGGCGGCGTGTGCGCCCTACAGCACCAGTGTCTCCTCTCCCCACCACACCCCGAAGCAGGAGAGCAACGCAGCACACGAGAGCTTCAGGCCAAAGCTCGAGCAGGAGGACAGCAAAGCCAAGCTGGACAAGCGGGAGGAGTCCCAGAGCGACATCAAATGCCACGGTGAGTCGCGCCGCCTCGGCTCCCGCCGCCGTCCAGCCGCTCCTCCTGCCCCTCTGGCTCCCTGTCGGCCCCCCGCGAACCTGCGGGACTCGAGGGCGATTCTCAGCTTCTCAGGCGATTGCGCCACAGTCCGAACCGCGAGCGGGAGGGAGGCCTGGGCGTGCGATCTGGGCACTCGCCCGAAGTTCTGTTTATTGGTACATTTCTGCCTCTCAACCTTCACCGCCACCCGGCTCCTTTGTTTTACTTAATTTTAACTTACTAGGAAGGGGGCCGCGGCGGAGGGGATCTGACGGGAAGTACTTCATTGTTTCATAGAGCCTAGGGGTGTGATCACAACGTGGTGTTTATTTTTTAATGCAAATCATTTCATTCCTCCCACACACCATATTTTCTAAACGTTGGCACAGGAATTATCAGATTTAGTGAAGGAAAAATTTCTGCGTTAATTAACAGCAACTTTTTTGGTATTAGATCCTGGTTAATATAGGGAAGCCCACATGGTAAAAATTTATAATTAGTGCTGCAGTTTTTAAAAATACCCTTCTTACCCCCATGGCCCCAACTGAATATCTGTATTTCAGTAAGATTTTTGGTTCCTTACAAGTAATTGGGAGGTAGCATTTATGAAAGCAAAATTTTATTAAATTGACTTGACCTATTTGTGTAAAATCAGAAGATGGCAATGAAATTATCCTTCAACTCCCCTTTTTCCATTTTATCCTCGGAAAATTTCATAAGTAAGTGTTTTGGTCTTTGCATGGCAGAAGAGTTTTAACATATGAGGAGAGTTCTTTTTTTCCCTTTACTGATAAGTAGTTGTTATTATTATTATTATTATTATTATTATTATTATTATTATTATTATTATTATTAATCTTTGCTGTCTCTGGGAAAGATGTGTGCTGACTGTTAGGAAGGTAGGATATTGCCTCTTTATTTTACTATTGTAGCATTAGCATAATAGTGCCCAAAACAGATGTACAGTCTGGTCTGGCGATTTTTTGTGCACCAACCTCCCCAGTGGGTCAATTAGAGAGATTATTGTTCTTCCTGCAGGGAAGATCAAGGAGAGCAGCAAAAACGGGTACAAACAGAGAGGGATTGACATATCGATTTCCCAGCATTTCAGTAAAAAACCGAAGTTGACAAATAGAATCCGGAAATCTCTGGGCTGTCACCTGAATGGGCTCAGTGATTCTGAGCTCAACACGGTGTCTGGGAGACATTCTTTCTGAAGCTTTAAAAGACCTGATGCAAGCGGCTGCAGACAGCTTGATCCAGCATTTCCCAAGCACATCTGAAAAAGGAAAACAAATGCCTATAACTTTCAGTAAACAGAATTAAAGTGAAAAAGATGCCCCTTCCTAAAAAAAAAAACACCAAAGTTGAAAGACCTTTTGAAAACTAACAAATCAGAAACTATGAAGTCTGAGTGAAAACAACAAAGAAGGCCAGGGTCTGCCCCCAGTCAGAAGAACAACAACAAAAAAGTACCCTTTATTATAAACTATTTTTTTCCTTTTCATTTCCTAAGATGGGAGGATCTGACCCTCTTTTGTAACCCTTTTAGGAGCTCTGCACAAGAGTCCACACTCCTTAGCCAGAAATCGATCCTCTTCCTCCATGCTGGCTAAGGTCCAAGCATGTGTGTGAGGACGGTGGCAGAGTACAGCTCCCCCGAGACCAGCGGCTGGCTTGGGAATGTGGGAGTGTGTGCCAGGCAGACACTCCACTCTTCCCCATTCCAGGCTACCTTACGGCTGTGTCTGGGTTTCTGTGTAGGAACAAAGGAGGAAGGAGATCGGGAGATTACCAGTAGCAGAGAGAGTCCCCCCGTGAGAGCCAAAAAGCCTCGCAAAGCCAGGACGGCTTTCTCTGACCATCAGCTCAATCAACTGGAGCGTAGCTTTGAGCGACAGAAGTACCTGAGTGTGCAGGACCGCATGGACCTGGCAGCTGCGCTCAACCTCACTGACACCCAGGTCAAGACCTGGTACCAGAATCGCAGGTAAGGGAGGCTGCGTGTCAGGCAGCAAAGGCGCCTGGCCTTCCAAGTCAAGACTACCACATCAATCTTCCCTCCTGACCTCAGAGACAGTAGGGACTCTGAGGGCGCAGAGTGGGCACTGGGGGCTTTGGGGCTGGAGCAGGGATTAGCCGCACCTCCAAGGTGAGAGGGACCAAAGAGCAGCTGGGGTTTGGAGAATTTTGCACTTAAGTGTCTGTAACAGATGCTGCTTTCCGTCTCAAACCTGAGTGGCTGGAATTCCCCCCCATTTTGCCCCCAGATCAGTCAAGCCACACCTTCTCTGTGCAGCAGACACTCAGGCCCATAAAGCCTGTGCATTGCCCTCTTCTGGGCCCGCCTTAGGGTGGCTCTGAGTACCTATAGCTGGCCACGCACTCTGGCTGTTTCTGTCCTGGAAGAGCTGACGTATTGGCCTCAGCTCAAACGTCCTTGCCTTGGCCTGTGAGGCAGCTGGGAGAGAAAGGGTTGGCAGCCGGTCAGGCGTCTGGACTGAGTGTCTGTCCCCTGTACTGGCCGCTTCAGTGCCCTCCAGGAGCCCCTGCTTCCCTTGTAAAGAAATTAGGAAAGGGGCTGGCAGTTTTCGTAGGCCTCTGAAGTGCAGAGCAAGCCCAGCCCGGCCTGGACTGTCTGAGGCCGAGGTTATGCCGTGTGTCTAGGCCTGGCGCTCTGCTCCCTTGTCTCGATTTTCTCTGCCCCTCCTCTTCTCTCGTTTGTGTTCTAATCGTCCATAAGTGTGGTTGGAAATGCCCATCCAGTTGTCATCTTTACCATAATTTTCTGTCTCATTACATACGGTTTCAGCCACCCTAATTCTGTCGGAAAACATTAGTGTCATTTGTAGCCAATTTAAAATGGGCGACATGTTTATTAATTTGGCTCGAGCTGCCGGGTATGGATGGCCCACCAGCCCTGAGTTCCTTCAGGAGGCGTTTGAGCAAAGGCCTGCTGCCTCTTCTTCCTAGCGGGGTGCAGTGGGGGAGGGAGGAGACTGAGAAAAGCTGATCACAGGTTTTAATTGTTACTCTCTCCCAGAGGAGAAAAGATCTTGAAATGCATTTTTCCCCGCCCAGAATGGCCTGAGGTACAGTCCCCTTGAGATAGCCCACCCTCAAACGAATTCCGTTTTGAAACCTTGTCGCCTTCCTCGCCCTGAGCACCCCCGCCTGCTGTAAGGTCCTGTCAGGCTGATGAGAGAGATGTGTCTCCACAGCCCTGGGGACCGAGAGGGGCAGGGGTCCAAGGCCCAGGAGTCTCTGTGTCCCTTTGTTCACGGTTTCTTCTCACTCAGCCTGGAGGAAGGGGGGAGGGGCAGAGAGCAGACACTAGGATTGTCGGGGAGCCACTTGGGGACAGGAATTAGAGGAGGGGGAAGAGGACTGCCTGTAGAAATAGTGGTCTCCACTGGCCTCCAGGAAAGTTTCAGGAAGTAGCCAAACTATAGGGGAGGCAACAGCAGAGCAAAGCTTGGAGAACTTTATTTGTGAGTGTCTCAGACATTGATGGCATTATTTGGGAAACTGGCTTGGATCTGGGTGATTTC